ATAATTTTTTTATTATTTGTCATTATTAACTTTATATATTTTTATGGTAATACCAAAAATTCTTAATTTAAATAAAAATTTTTAGTTTGACATCATCTTTTGAAATGTAATATATTAATATTGAAAATATACATTTCACTGCATATATAGATACGTATATAACTATATATAAATATATTTAAATTATGTATATCTATATATAAATTTATAAAATTTCATTCAAATGTTACAAATACCTAATCATATAAATTAATTAATATTTTTCATAACAATACAAAATTTTTATTTCAAAAAACATTTAACATAAAACAAGTTTTAATCATGATAATTTAAAACAAAATAATTTTAAGTACAAAGTCAAATGACGGATTTTAAAATTTAATTTCATTTTTAATTTGTAAAAAACGTTGACTATATATAATAAGTATAGTATAATAAGTAATATAATAATTATATTTACCTGTAATAGGTATTACAGTACAAAATGAAATGTTTTATTATATTTGTTTTGATAATACAGTTGAGAAATAATAGACAAATAATATTATCTTTTCCTTTGAAAAGTCACTCATCTCTGAGAGAGAGAGAGAGAGAGAGAGAGAGAGAGAGAACGTGTAAATAAAATACACTGATAAATGCATTTCAGTACATTTGTTTAGGTGATTGCTACACTAAATCAATGTTACCTTTAATTCATTTTAATCATCTAACTATTATTGGTAAATAATATTTTTTAAAGTATAATTTTTCCAATAAACACATATTACACACTTTTATATTTATAGTAAATAACCTGGAATAAACCATAATTATATTGAATATAATTTGTAAAGCAAATAAAAACTATTCACACTAATCGCAAATATTTACCAACATTTGTATTTACAAACAACATAAGACTCGTCACGTAATTATGTAATATAATAAATATATTTACTTTTTAATGATAGTACCCGGATCCTATTTATAACCGGTAAACATTTATACATATTTCCCAAATATATAAATAGCGCACAATATTCAGTAATAAGTCATTCGTAAACTACTTATACGACTACTTATAGTCTAATAGAAAAAAGTTTTAAATATATTTTTATTATAAAACTTCAAAAACTTTTGTAAAAATGAAAAGTTTATTAATTTTAGTCCTTTTGGCTCTCATTTACTGTAAGTCTCTCTCTCTCTCTCTCTCTCTCTCTCTCTCTCATCAAAAATCTTATAATTATATTATTTTTCAGATACCGGTGCCGATGACACACAGGACATTAAGTCGGAACTCCTAAAACGGGCACAGGATTTGGAAAAGGAGGCTACCATTGAGAGCAAGAAACTAAAGGACCAAGGTAGACACATCCTGGCCAAGCAACTGGACAGGGAGGTTCAGAAAGTACAACATATAGCCAAACAGCTTGAGGTGGCTAAGGATCCCAAGATATTACAGCGCCTGGAGGTCCAACTCCTGGTATTGGAGGACCGATTGGCAGACCTTATTAAGGAGGCCGAGCGCACCCGCCCTCCCAGACCCATCACACACCGACCTACCCGTCCCACTAAACCCACGCAACAACCCACTGGACAGCCAACTCGGGTCACATCTCAACCTACCGGTGCAACTAAAGTCACGGCACAGCCTACCGGTACACCAATAGCTACATCAGCGGCACCGATATCTACGGCACAGCCTACCGCTACACCTATAACTACATCCGCAGCACCGGTATCTATTTCTCAGCTCCGGGATAAACGGGATGTTAAGGCAGAGCTACTGAAACGGGCGACTGAGTTGGAACGGGTGGCCGGGGATCTAAGCAAGAAGTTAAGGGAGCAAGGTAGGAAAAATGAGGCTGACAAACTGGACAGGGAGGTAAAGGTGCTGACAGGGTTGGCCGGGGAGTTGGAAAAGGCTACGGATGTAAAGGATGTCACGAGACTGGAGTTGAAGGTATTGATGGCCGAGACAAAGGTGTCGGATCTGATTGTGAGGTACGAGCGCACTAGACCTCCCAGACCTACCCGTCCCATCAGGTCGACTACTGCCAAACCGGCGCCGGTGTCTACAAGTGCTGCCTAAATATAATGAAATGCCGTCTTTTATAAAAAGAAATAAATTTTTTTATAAATTATTTTTGATTTTAAATTATAATAATTTGAGAACTTTACAATATTTATGATTTGTGACACCAAAATAAAATGTTTTGTTAACAAGTACAGTTGATAATTATTAATTTTTATTTAAATCGGATTATTGCAAATTATTACTATTCAAATTATCAACATATCAAATCTATAAATAAAAAAATACACTTTAGTTTAAAAATATATTTAAAACTAAAATTGAACAAAATTATTTACAGTTCATTATTATACGTTATAAAGTATAATTATATTATCACCCACATTTGATTGAAATAATCTGGTAGTATATTTTGCCAATTGATTATTCATGAGTAAGATACAATAAAAGTCTTTTTAAATAGTGTTTATATAGTGTTTGTGATAAAATATAATTTAGGAGCAAAGCCTTGGTATTAGCCAGCATATTCATCAAAATATATAATAAAGTAAATCAAAAATATTAATGATTTACTACAAGTAAATAAATCATTTTAGTTTTTAATAGTTTATTCATTTTATATTTAAAATAAGCCAATGGAAATAATTATGGTGTAAAAAGTTATTCTTTATATTAATGATTTAATCACAAGTATTAAATACACTATACTAATAAATTAATATTATCATAAGTTTATTGATTATATATCAGCTTATATTTATGATGATTATGCTGGGTAATATTAAGACTTTGCTCATAAATTATATTTTATAACTAACACTATTTAAAAAAATATTTTTAACGCATCTTATTCATGAGTAATTTACTAAATATATATTTTTTAATTTACAGTATTTCAATAAACTCACTTAGCATGTTATTAAATAAATTAATTCATTTATGCAATAGTAAATGTAGATTATAAATTGAAGTTGGGGGATAGTATTGGTGCCACTTGGGTGGTGTTCCTTGACAATTGGGAGTAATTTAATGGGCATTTTGAAGATTTAAAAATATCAATTTCAACAAGTTGAATGCTTAATTATTTCAATAACCAAACTACTTGAATGTAGTGGCGTGTGCACAAACACAAATCCCCTTTCCACAAATTCCTATCAAACATTTTTGAAACAATTGATAACTATTGTGATATCCTTTGCAACCGAAACCCATCTCTTTATCTACAAATAACTATCGCTATTCCATACACTATGTCTGCTCCCACCTAATTTTGCGCAACCCATAGGGTTGCCAAACCTCCTCCAATCTGGAGGATTCTCCTCCAATCGGCTTGAAAAGGAACAGCCCTTCAGAGGGAGTTACTTAAATTATTTAAAACTTTCTTTGTAATCCTAAATATAATGATTACTTGAACATATAGTTTTAAAAATAATGCAATTATAATTTTACATAGATTTTAAATTTATTAAATGAAAGCATATAATTTTCAATAGATTACAGCAATTTTATAAGCCTCTATAATAAACACAATTATTTACATACTACTAAATATCAAATTCACTGAAATTCGACATGTTTTATTCATTTAAATACTTAGATAACCTATAAAAATTTAGTTACTGTAACATAAAACTATTTAATGATAGGATTAGCTGTCTAGATTCTTACAAATGTTTAGATTTAATTTA